CAATCAACGAGAGTGTTTGAATCAGAATATTATCGTTTTCGGAATTGTTCAATATCAAAATCTTTGTGTAATGTTATATAAATGCAATTAAAGAAGTAGAAATGATGCAATCTCCTATTCATAATTCTTTAAAAACATGTTGAGATTTTGAAAGTGAAAGGTTCATATATAATATATAATATAATATATATATGTATGTATGCATGTAAGTGAATGTTGGCAATAATGCAAAAGATTTCTTATAGTGGGAGTGGTTGAATTCTATCTGCTTCACAGCTAAGACTAAGCAATCGTATTTGATCTCATTGAAAATTTGTTCAACGGTCAAAGTTTATTACGAGAGTTACGTTTTAATTCATTACGAACATCTTAACTAAATGAATATAATTATCACGAAATATTTTTTTTTAATTTAAAAATATAATATATTCGTTAAAATTTAATTTAATTTGATTATTTAACTCTACAAGTACAGTAATGAGTTAAATTTTTTATTATATTGAATCGTATATTATAAATTAATTACTATCAATTAAGTAAAATTATAATTACCTTTGAGTTATACTTAAAAATTAATATTATTTTTACTTAAATACATTGTAGCTTGACAGAATAAAATTTAATTTAATTATTACAGTTCTAAAAATATATTAATAACTTCCTCTTTTATACATATATTTATTATATTTGAAGTTAAAAAATTAGTAAATTCCTAAAATTACCTTACAATATTTAATTTAAGAAATAAAAAATATTTAATTAAAAAAAATAGGTTCCCGCTCTTTTCGAAAATTTAAAAGCCTTTGCTCCCTCTATAAACCCTCTCTCCTCTTTCACGAACCCTTCTTCCTCCTGCCTCTCTCCCTCTGTCTGTAAATCCCTTTTCCTGCTCCCTCTCTTCAACGGGGATGGGACAGGAAATGCGTACGGCAAAACCGGTTAACTCCGATGATTCCGTCAGCAGCCCCGTCGACCCTCTGGTCACCGCGGTGGGAAGCGGGACTAACAGGAGGAAGAAACGGGTAAAATCCGATTCGGATAACGAGTGTGCTTCGCAGTTGATCAGGAGAGAGACCAAGAAGGCGAAACGGGTAGTAGCCGACCCCGATTGCAGGTTCGATGGGGAACCGATTCCCGCCTTAGAAGCTAGAAAGAAGTGGCCGTCTCGTTACCAGTCTAAAGTGAAGAAAGGGGCTGTTGCAGATGAGGATATGGAATTAGAAGCAAGGTGCCATTATGAACGTGCAATTATTGATGGTGTTCTCTTCAAGTTAGAAGATGATGCCTACGTCCAGGTAATCTGTCTGTTTGAATGTCTCTAATTTTTTTTTTTGTTTTTTCACATACACGAAGTAAAGTGGTGTTTTCTCTGTGCTCAAAAGCTGATTTCTTTTCAGTTAAAAATAAAAAAAATGATTTTTTTTCTTTAAATTTGGAAATCCCAAGTCTCGATATAGGTAGGACCAATATACAGAAGAAAGATGCAGCTTGTAATCTATTGCTGATACCAGCTAAATCAGCTTAATTTTTTTTATTATTGTTAAATTTTAAATTCCGCATTTTATTCTTACTAGGTATCACTTGACGCTTCCAGCTTAAACTTTTTTCCTTTTTGTTAAATTTTAAGTTCTTCATTTTATTATTGCAAGGAGTCACTTGATGCTTTCAGTTTCTTTTTGGTGTATTTTATTTTATGTTTCTAAACAAATGGTTCCTATTAGCAAAAGTGAGTGCAGGGAGAAGAAAAGTTGTGTAAAGTTGACAGGAATCTAATATGTTGAGAAAATAAATCCCAGAATGCACACAATCACATAATGTTAAGAGCAAAATAATAAAAAAAAAGACACAAAATTTAATGCAGTTTGACAAGTATGCTTACATTCACGAATAATATTGAGAAAAAACTTTTCACTGTGATAAAAAATGAAAGTATGTTGCCAGTAGAGTTGTAAACTTTTATATAAACAATGTACTAGGATTTCCTCACAGAATATTTTTTAGGATATACAGAAAATCAAGTCATATCAACATAATAGAAATGAGATAAGGCTGGAAAGGGATATAGTATTCAGATTATTATATGTTTGTAATTCAAGCTTGGTGGAACTCTTCTTCCTACTAAATCAACTAAAGAAGGAAAAGTCAATTCATAAACAATTTAAAGTAGGAGTTGAAGTAGTTTAGGCATAAAAAATTATGAAATTTTTTTCTCTATTGATGATGTTTACCAGTCAATAAATGAAAAAGATATGAATTGAAGCAAATGAATTGAAGTGCTGTTGTTAATTCAAAATATGTGAAGCTTTGGTTGCCTTTTTAAGTTATGTGCTTATATATGAAGGTTTCTTCTTTTAGGCAGAAGATGGAAAACCTGATTACATTGCAAAAATAATTGAGATGTTTGAAACAACAGATGGTGAACATTATTTTAGAGCTCAGTGGTTCTATAGAGCTGAAGACACGGTGATGTTATCTTTCAATTCAACTTGTTTTTCATACTTCTTACTATTTTTTTCGGGGTTACTAACTTTTGAAGTTCCAAAATTTTCATGTTACCAGGTTATCAAGAATCACGCAAATCTTGTTGACGACAAAAGAGTATTCCTTTCAGATGTTGAAGATGACAATCCATTGAATTGCATTGTTTCCAAAGTAAAAATTGCTCAAGTCGCCCCAAATGTAGGTCATCACATTATCTATCAATTAGTTACAAATTTATTAAGCTTGTTTTGAATGTGTTAACACTGATTTAGTGCTTCTATTGTTTCATAGATGGACCCAGATGCAAAGGCCAAAATATTATCATCCTATGATTTGTATTGTGATATGAAATACAAATTGTCATATTTGACATTTTCAAATATGATTACAGGTAATTTAGTTTGTGTCAATATAATGACAACATGTTTGGTTCAATGTTTATGTTGTTCTTACTTAAACAGCCCCTGTTTTTCACGTTAGTCTTAATGTATAGAGCTAAAACGTGTTTTGTATTTGATGTTACTCCAGGCCGTATCTTGAATTTTTTAGAGTGGTAATTATATTTTCATGTTTAATTTATAGAACTGGAATTATGAGTTTTAAATAATTAAAGAAGAGGATAGGAATAAGATCCAATACAGAATATTATGTTCTAACTTTACATATCAAGACTTTATGGAGATTAGAGTTAAGACCAAACAAAAATTAGTTGAAATTGTACCCTTAACAACATCAATAACTTCAAATTTAAAATTGTGTTTATTAATTTAAATGATGTTATTATGATAACTGTTCTTCATATTGCTGTTTATCAACTCCATTAAAGTCACAACTTGCTCTAATATGCTAGAAAACCAAAGAAGAGATTCTGATGCATCATCATCAATATCAAGTGAAAGCGGTTCTCACAGCACGATTGATAATATTAGTAATGAAGATGTAGAATCTAAAAAAATTTGCAAGTCTGATAAGTCCAAATTGCTTTTATTGGATTTGTACTCTGGATGTGGTGCAATGTCTACTGGCCTAAGCATGGGTGCATCTTTGTCAGGCACAAGATTAGTTACTGTAAGTCGATAGTGAAGTTAATCATCATACTAAATTTCATGTGCCTGTGTGTTTTTCTATGTAGTTTCTCTGTATAGTTGTTAAAATATGCTTTTCTGTACTTGATTTTGTAGAGATGGGCTGTAGACATTAACTCTCATGCATGTAAAAGTCTGAAGAAAAACCATCCTGAAACTGAGGTAAAGCGCATTTCATTGTTCCGTGTCATTAGCATATAATTTAAAATTAGTAAAAATTTACTATATGTTGTAAATGCTGATCAGGTAAGAAATGAGGCAGCAGAAGATTTTTTGAATTTGTTGAAGGAGTGGGAAAAATTGTGTCAGAAATTTGGATTGATCAGTACAAAAGAACAATTGGAACCAAGCCTTGGCTTGGAAAGTGAAGAAGTAGAAGAAGAAAAAGAAGAAGATGATGATGATGACTTTGAAATTCCTTCTGAAGAATTTGAAGTAGAAAGGTTTCTAGCTATTTGCTTTGGAGATCCTAACAAAGTGAATCAATCTGAATTATATTTAAAGGTATTTTCTTTCATTTTGAATGATGATATATCTTTTATCTAAGTTAAAGTTTTTCAACTCTTTACTGTTTACAGTTAAAAACTGGTGAATTTTGAAATCATTCATAACATAAATGCTTAGGGTTAAATATTTAAGAATAAGCATAAAAAAAATAAAGACAAAAAATAAAAATAAAACTAATTCTTATTTAAATAAATATGCATACTGAAGCGTAGTTATTTATTAATATGGAAATAATAAAATTATCTATAATTAGAAATATGAAAAATGAGAAAATTGGCAATTGCAAGCAACAATTCATGGAGCTGAATTTTGCTAGTTGGTAAGGTGATTCGTGATTGGCAAATAAAATCGAAACCTTAAGCCTTTTCCTTTTCCCTCAACCAAAAAAAAAAAAACAGATAACCAAGGGTTGCCCTAGTCTCTTGAAATTTTTATCAAATAATTGTTGCTTAGAAAGTTATGGCCTAAGTGCCTCAATCAAGCTGGGAAATGGTTAGAATAATTATGATTAGTTTCAAGTATAGCCAACAAACTTATAATAAAATATAGCTGCCACTGGTGTACTCTATTTCCTTGTTGAATAAAATTTCTAACCTCTTGAATCTAACTTCTGCATCCTCTCTTCTTTTCTGTGATTTTCTTTTCTTCTCTAAAATTATGCAGAAGATGCAAATTAGGTTGTATCATTAGTAGCTAACTTAAATGGTTTGGTCGACAAGTAAGATGAACTAAAGATGTCAATCTTGAAAAACACCAGGTCTTATAGGATAATAAGAAAGTAGAAGATTCCATGAAACCGTGACCTCCACAGTTAAGGATCTAAAGAAATGAGAACATGTCGTCTGAGAATTGACCAAGTTGTAAGATGTGGTGAACTTTAAAAATTATCTCTTTCATTTGTTCATAATCATAAGCGCCTAGTGAACAAATCTCTAAAGAAAAATTTCGTATAGCAATCCTTAATCATATTCTAACCGCACATTTTTCAAATAATTCAAGACTTGATATAGGACAAATAAGTTTGAGGTTTGTTTCAGGCCTTACATAATTATATGGTTTTCTATAAATGTGCGATGTTGTGACGTGCCAATTTCTGGGTTGGGCCATTACAACTAAACTATTACTGTGATCCAAATGATGAACTTAATAAGTGATTTGTTGAAAATTTGAATTAAAATAATGTACTAAGCCTACATCCATTTGAAACTTTTAGCGTATATTGTACTTCGTACTCTACACTGTACCACGATTCAGATGTATGCATTTTAGGCAAGTATATACATTTAGTTTTTACTAGTTGGTTGATGCTGCATAACGTATTTAATAGTTTAGGTGACTGAGAAGACATCTGTTCCACAGATAATTCTCATAGTAAATAGATGTTGTTGGTTGTCTTGAACAATTTCTGTTTTCAAACTTCGTAGGTACGTTGGAAAGGCTATGGTCCTAGTGAAGACACATGGGAGCCTATAGATGGATTGAGGTAGTCTTCTTGAACATTATGATGAGTATTTTCAATCATATATTTTATCGAGTTGTTTTCTTTTTCCTCATTTTCTTTATTCTGGAGATAGGAAAATAGTTTTTAAGAGATACAGAGGAATGCTTGAATTCCTTTTCTTCTTTGCTTAATATGTCTTAAACTTTATTTATCAAGATAGAAAGGTGGATAGTGAGCATCCTATGCTTTCTTTTCATGTTCTCACTTTCCTCAATCCATATATGATGTCAGATTCATGTTTTTGCATAACTCTTGCACAAATCTAGTTTTTTTAATTGTTTTGATGTTTTCTGTTTTTTAGTAAATGCACAGATAAATTGAAGGAATTTGTGACACAAGGGTATAAGTCAAACATATTACCTCTTCCTGTAAGTCATTTTATCTTTGGAAGTGTATTCCATTAGCTATATTGGTCACTAATATTTGCTTTCACATTTAGATGTTTCTTTCCAGAATTTGCTTATACTCTCTTGTCTGTTTGTTAGGGTGGTGTTGATTTTATATGCGGAGGGCCCCCATGTCAAGGCATTAGCGGCTTTAATCGCTTCAGAAACCAGGAAGCTCCATTAGATGATATAAAGAATCATCAGTTGGTGGTGTACATGGACATAATTGATCACTTAAAACCGAAGTATGTCCTAATGGAAAATGTTGTGGACATTGTAAAATTTGCTGGTGGGTTTTTAGCACGCTATGCTGTAGGTCGCCTTGTTTCCATGAACTATCAAACGAGATTAGGAATGATGGCTGCAGGGTCATATGGTGTACCACAATTTAGGATGCGGGTTTTCTTATGGGGTGCATGTCATTCGGAAGTAGGTATATTTTCCAGAAAATAGTGTATTAAAGAGCAAAATACATGTTTTTATTTTTTCTTCTATTTTTGTTTTGTCCAGAAATTGCCTCCTTATCCACTGCCAACTCATGAAGTTCTATCCAAGGGTGTGATTCCCACTGAATTTGAGGTACATAGCAGATTAACCTTAGTTATTTTATTACCTTAGTACACATGCATTTAGTTCTTTTGCTATTAAATGCAGGATGTGGTTGTTGCTCATGATAAAAAGGAGCCTTGCAAGTTGGAAAAAGCTCTCGATCTCAATGATGCATTATCAGATCTTCCCCCTGTATGTTCAGTTATCTTTGAACAATCCTTGTATTACATGTTTATAGGTGCAATTTGGGTCCTATATTGACTTTGATTTCATTTCCTTGTTTGAGTGCATGTTAGGTGACGAATGAGGAGAGTAATGAGGAAATCAAATATCAGAATGCTGCTCGAACAGAATTCCAGAGATATATTAGACTTAAAAAGACTGGTAAGCTGACACCTAGCAAATATATATTTGTTAGAATTGATGGATTAGTTGCACAGTTAAACATCTAAGACAAGAATAAACACAGATGTAAAAGAAGAATACAATTAATTCCAGATAACTGATTAACAGTCTCCCCTACTCCACATGTGCTGTTCCTTTTCTCTCTATATTTTATGTCTCTGCTTTAGGTATATCATGAGCTCCTTTATATTAGACAGATTTAGTACTTGATACACTA